TGGTTCATTCAGTAATGGTATACCGAGCCAAACTATACACGAGTTTTTCCCTTCTTCACCACCTGGACATAAAATCATCGAAGTTCCGGAACATTTAGTTTTCTATCGGCTCAATTCTTCGTCTATAAGTAAAGTAAATATTGTACTAAAAGATCAAGATAATAATTTAATCAATTTAAGAGGGGAGCCAATCACAGTTCGTATACAAATTAAACATAAAGATGGCTATTAAGTTCAATACATATATATAAAGAAATGCGATCAAGAGTGCCAACAGTTCTACTAACAAGGTTAATACGTCTAGACGTCCGCCGTCCAAACTAACCAAACAAAATCTATCGTTTCTACGGTCTTTAAAAGTTCTTTAATCATGGATGACATGTATTTGGACGTAGCCGGTGGATATGATGATGATTGCAAAATAACCCAAATGCAATACCACTCTTTCCTACCTTATTCTTCAACAGCTTTATCACATAACGATGAAATTAGAATATCTATTCAAAATATGGACGCATATACTCTGCCCTGTGAGAGCTATCTTTATATTGAAGGTAAATTGAATATACCGACAGATGTTGCAGCATATGCAAACGAAATAAATTTTACAAACAATGGTTTAGCGTTTTTGCTTTCTGAAATCCGATATGAAATTAACGGCGTGGAAATACAAAAATTAAAATCTCCTGGACAATCTTCGAGTCTTAAAGGTTTCTGCTCACACACTCCTAATGAATTGAATAATCTACAGAATGCTGCTTGGGATGTAGATATGGATGCCAGTGAAAATAAACATTTCATGTTGAATAACAAATTTGCTGGTTGTATCCAACTCAAACACTTGTTTGAATTTTGTGAAGATTATAAAAAAATACTCCTCAACTGCAACCAACAAATAATTTTAAACAGATCATCTACAGACTTTGATGCGTTGTACGTTTCGGGAACTATTGCAAATGAAAGTAGAGATAAACTTAAAAAAGTAGCTATTGAATTGAGTAAAATTATTTGGAAAATGCCTGTTATCAGGGTGAGCGACAAAGAAAAAATTAAACTGTTAAAAGTATTAGACTCTCGTAAACCACTAGCATGTGCGTTCAGAAATTGGGACTTGTGCGAATATCCAGTTCTCCCTCAAAATACTTCTCATTCATGGACTGTTAAATCAAGCAGTTTGCTAGAGAAACCTAGATTTGCATTAATTGGATTTCAAACAGATAGAAAAAATAATTTATTTAATCCATCAGGACGGTTCGATCACTGCTACCTGAAAAACCTGAAAGTACACCTGAACTCTGAAGTATATCCATATGAAGATTTCCGTGCAGATTTCACAAACAACGTTACAGCTATATTGTACAAAGCGTATGCCGAATTCCAAAAATCATACTACGAGAAAGAATATAGCGAGCCTCTACTTGCAAAAAACATTTTCCAGCAATTTGTACCAATCATAGTCGTGGATTTACCACGTCAGAACGACAATGTAAAATCATCGACTGTAGATTTACGCATCGAGTTTGAAACAGACAAAGCTATTCCAGCAAAGACTGCAGCATATTGCCTCATCTTAACGATCAAATTATAACTTATAGTCCATTTAATGGTGATGTAAGAAAATTGTAAATAGCTTGTAAAATAAAAATACTTTTTTTTTTTTTTAAATTTCATGTATCTTACACTACAAAATGATAACTAATAATACATTTAATAGCGATGCAAGGAAATTGCAAATAGTTTGTGAAATAAAAATACTTTTTTTAAATATCACGTTGTTTTTTTTATTATATATAAGTAATAAAATATCATATTACAATAAAATATTACATTAATGGTTCGCGTTTTTAAATAATTGACAAAAATATGAAAATTACATAATAAAATGTCATATTACAATAAAATATTACATTAATGGTTCGCGTTTTTAAATAATTGACAAAAATATGAAAATTACATAATAAAATGTCATATTACAATAAAATATTACATTATTAACGAAAAATTAATCTGCGGGCTGCTTTTGCGGTTTCACGTGCTACAAATACCCTCGTCCTCGGTCTGTTTACTTCAGACTAAAAAAAATTGTTTCTTTAGCATAAAATAATATGTAAAAATAAAATCGTATTACCTCAGTTTCGGCAGAAGAAGATAACCATCCCATTGCCAATTGTTTGACTGCCTTAATTTTCAAATCTGCTATTAAACAAATACCAGTGAACTTGAGTTGTTTTTTCAATTCTTGGACATCGATACGGGATAAATAATCTTCAACATTGTTTATTTTTGTATCTTTGGGTAACGGCATTTCCTTTCCAAGATACCTTGAAATACCACAGGCCTGACGTAATGCACTAGGTCGTGTGTATATATTTTTCATCTGAATAACTTCTTCCACGGCATCATTCAATTGCAAGATCCTTGAAACATTCTCTTTAGTTAATCGTACATGTTGATCCTGTTGCAAACACTTTATCGAGAGAACGTTGTCACCGTTGTATTTATCTATTGAAGCCAATTTAAACTCATCCAGCATTAAATGAGATGGTAGTGAAAAGTTTATGTATTTAAGAGCTATATTAATTAGAGAATTATAGAATTCAACACTCATTTTAACACACTGCGAGTTATTTGAGATGCATATAACGCAATTTAACAAAAAATCAGGGTCTAATCCTATATTTATAAAAATATTGCTATCAACAAAGAATGTAGTACAATCGATCAGATTATTAGCCATTTTTGTTAGATACGCTCACAACTGTCTCGAAATAAGTTAGTAATCTGGTACGCACACGACTCGTTTGACGGAACACTCACGACTGTCTTGAAAAAAGTCTGTGTCACCCTTTTAAACAGTGCTACCCGATCGCTCGTTTAGAGTGGGGATTATCCCTACTCTATACTCGGGGGTGGGAGTAAAAGTGAATTTAGATCATACATTAGTGGTACCGCTCATGATGGTGGGGATATGTATAAGGAAATAACACATGTTATGATATATAGAATATTTATTAATAAAATAATTTTGTAATACACTGATAAGATGGTTTTACTGACTTGCAGTCGAATAGAGATGGTGGGGGATCATGGGCGTCTGTTAAAATATGTCGGACCGTCGTTCTCATCAACAGCCTATAAAAATTAATGATTATTCATCATATTATCATTTGTATATTTATGTATATTACCTTTGGTTTAGTTTTCCGAAGTTTAGCAGGATTCATAGAATGTTTTATTTCCTGGAACCTCCTCTCCTCATCAGCTGCCTAAATAAAATAAAATTTAAAACTAAAATTTTTTATTATTATTATTTCAATTACCCGTGACTGTGAAAAATCGTCTTCGTTATATGTCATCAATGGAGACATACTTGAGTATCTTGGTGGGGATGGCTGCATCATTTCCACGTCAAAGGCCTCAGTATAATACTAAAATAAATTGAAATAAGTAATCGTAATTTGAATATTAATACCTTTAATTCGTTAACCTCAGGCATCCTCTGGGTAGGCGGAAGAAATTTTATCAATTCATCATCATTTTCGGTAGCGGAGGTGGCGGTGGCGGTGGCGGGCAATCTATGGCTGGGTGGCGGTGGCGGTGGCGGCTACAAAACATACATTTCTCTACTACTATGGACAATTCATACATATCTCAGAAAATCCAACATACTTATTAACAGATTATGTGGTGACAAAATATTTAATTTGGTCAAATATCAATAATTGTATAATAGTTTCCGACATTTTTGTTTGTGGTTTCAACGAAATGGTATGCAATAGTGATACTGATAACACTTGTGTAGCAGAAATATTAAAAAATGCTATAACTAAACCTGTGATACTTATATTACATAATTTAAAAAATAATTTTGGTACTCATCGTTTTTCAAAAATAATTTGTACTTTGTAATTTTGTATGTGAAAAGCCTACCTCAATTACAATAATTTTTAATAATAGATCTTTTATTCGAAAAATATTACTAAAAAGTTTTGGGACATTATTAATGAAAGCTGGGTGTCAAGCTCGTACAACTAAAGGCATATTAATAACAGAGCAAACGGTAGAACCGTCATTTGCAACACTGTCTTTAGAGTTAAGTATTTTAAATGATTCATGCTGCAATATTACACTTAATCAACGTTATCCGAAACCCATTCATTTAGATGAAATACAAAAATTAAAATTCGACAAAGAAGCTTTCATAAAGCTTTTTTTTTTTAAAAAATCATTTCAAAGTTAAATACACAAGATAAATTACTAAATTCAATATTATTAAATAAGACATATTAATTTGTGTATACGAACAAATATTTAATCATTATAATAGTTATTATAATATTACACTCGAGTATGAAATTCTGTATAAAAAAAAAAAAAAAATATTTCAGCTTTAGAAAATATAAATTTATCATATTGTCCTGTGCCAGTTGCTCCACCAAAACAATAAACTTTACTTTATAATTTATAGTTACATATTATACATGTAAATTTAAATCTCTTATACATTTTTTCATACTAATAGTAGTTATACTTTATTTTTTAAGAATACACATTTTATTTTATCTACGCTCTTGTTAAATATAAGTCTTAGGAATTTAATACTATGATTTATTTGTAATAAATATTTAACTTGCCGGGGACTTTAACGCAAAGAATGCAGAGTGGGGTTCAAGGAGTAACGACCAAAGGGGTGTCGAGCTCGCAGAGCTAATTGCTTCTCTGAACCTCCAGGTATGACACGTTGGAAGCAGCCCCACGTTCGAAAGAGGCGCGAGCAGCTCAATCTTGAACGTAACGTTTGCATCGCCCAACACGGCGAACCAAATAACCAACTGAAAAGTTCTGGACGAGGAAACGAGAAGTGACCACAAAAATACACACTTCGTGATCGGGGCACAGGTGGCGAAACAAGACAACGGTCGAATAGGATGGTGCCGGAAGAAACTCGACCCTCAGAAACTCAAAAAATATCTGGATGATCACGAGCCACCCAAAGACGCATGCGAGTTGATGGAAACCATCAGGGAGCTTGTGATGCGGCCATGCCAAGAATAAGAAACGCACAAAGCTCTCGCCAACCGCAATACTGGTGGACGTCGGAGATAGCAGAGCTAAGGAAAGCCACACTAGCAGCTAGAAAGAAATACCAAAGGGAAGCAAGGAGAGGACCAGCTGAGGCGGAAAACCATATATTCAAGGAGGCGAGTAGAGACCTTAGGTTAGCAATAAAAAGGAGCCAAGACACCTGCTGGAAAAACTTGTGCGCTGAGGTGGATCACAACCCGTGGGGAATGGCACACAGATGGTCAAGAGGAAAATAGAAAAACAACCAGCAATTCCAACCAATCTGATCCCCGAAATCATATCGGAACTCTTCCCAACCCACGCCGTGGTGGAAAGTATAGCAAATAATGTGACGACGCCGGTACCTCCAATAACACTCCAGGAATTAGAGATAGCAACCCGAAGACTATACCCAGGCAAGGCACCTGGGTCGGATGGCCGATTGGAGCAACGAAGCGCTGATGGACGCGGTGAGGACGCATCCAGCAATGTTCCAGGGGGTATATGATGGATGTATGAAGGACGGCGTTTTCCCGAAGCCGTGGAAACGAGCTAGGTTGGTCCTCCTGAAAAAGGGCGATAAACCGGCAGATCAACCCTCGAGTTACCGCCCGCTCTGCATGCTGGATACAACGGGAAAGTTATTCGAACGCATACTGTGCAACCGCATCGAGGAAGCCTTGGATAGAGAGCAAACCGGGCTAGTTGGCAACCAATACGGGTTCAGGAAAGGACGGTCAACTATCGATGCAATCAACAGGGTCATGGCAGAGGTATCTGACGCTGGAGCCGGTCGGATACACGAGGACAGCTCTGCGTGCTCATCACCCGGGATGTGGCCAACGCCTTCAATTCGGCATCATGGGAGGCCATACTAAGAGCCATCATCCAAAAGAAAGTACCAGACTACCTCACGAACGTCGTGCGAAATTACCTTTGCGACAGGGAGATAGTTCACGGAGAAAGCAAGGAGATAGTTAACCTAACCAGAGGAGTACCACAAGGATCGGTACTCGTTCCCCTGCTATGGGGCATCATGTATGTCTGTTCACCGAGAAGATGCCAGAAGGAGTAACCGTGGTGGGCTTTGCAGACGACGTGGCCATTGTGGGAAGGTCATGGAGGGTCGATCACCTGGAGGATATAGTCAACGAGTCCCTCTGTTTGGTACACAGATGGATGAGCGACCACCAACTGAAACTAGCCACGCACAAAACCGAGGCCGTCATGTTAGCCCGGAAAAAGGGGTACCGTAGGCCAATATTCGTGGTAGGAGGACACCAAATAAGTACCAAGAACTCACTCAAGTACCTAGGGGTAGAAATCGACTGTGGAAGGCGGTTCAAGGTGCATGAGCAAGTGATCAGACAGAAGGCAACCAGAACGGCACAGGCACTGTCGAGGATCTTACCCAACATCGGTGGGTCGTCAACGGCGAAGAGAAAGCTCCTGGCGAGCTTCGTCCACAGCCAGCTGCTATACGCTGCGCCAGTATGGGAGCCACTACTGAACCACAGGATGGATAGCGTCGTCCCGTTAAAAGGAGACACGGCGAAGCATATCAAGTCAGCGCAAAGGCTAATGGCACTAAGGGTCCCGAGGGCATACAGAACCATATCCTTTGAGGCAGTAACGTTACTAGCTGCCATGCCCCCGACCATGCTACTAGCGAAGGAACGTACCGCAGTCCAGAACGCGACAAACAAATCATAAGCACTTCAAGACGCACGAAGAGGAACGATGTTGACGTGGCAACCGGACTGGGAGAATGCAACGAAGGGCCGTTGGACACACACACTAATTAGTGATGTAGGGAAATGGGTCAACAGAAAATATGGCGACACACACTACTTCCTGACCCAAGCCTTCACCAATCATGGATGCTTCAACGCCTATCTACACAAAATAAAGAAAGCGGACTCACCAAATTGCTCTATGTGCAACGCGGACATAGATGACGCCAATCACACGGTGTTTGAATGCGATGGGTATGAAAACTGGCAGCAACAGCTATATACGGAGATTGGGCACAGGCTCACTCCACAGGATATAATCGGTACTATGCTCCTGAGGAAGAGAACGTGGGACCTGATCTTGGCGTACATCCACCGAATCATGGAGCACAAATGAGTAAGGCTGGTTAGGGGGGAATGTCCCCCCGGACTTACTATTTTCTTTATTTCGTTAATGTAAAGTTTTTTAATAAACGATAGGGGCCTGGAGGAAGTAATGCTAACGGAGTTCCCTCCAGGTTTCCTGATATATCATAAAAAAGAAAAGAAAATGACGACCTGCCTGACCCCAAATGACCTACCCAACCACCAGACGATCTCCCCAACCTCCAAACGACCTACCCGACCTCCAGAAAAGCTCTTTGTCCTCAGACAACCTAGCTGAACTTCAGGAGATCTCGCCGACCTCAGTTGACCTCAACAACCTCAGACAACCTATCCGACATCCAGACGACCTCACCGGCTTCTAGACAATCTTTTCAATCTCCATACGACATCCCTGACCTCCTGACAACCACACCGACCTCAAATGACCTACCCGACCACCAGACGACCTCACCCACCTCCCCAACCACCAGAAGAGCTTCCCAGCTGACCCAGATAACCCAGCTGACCTCCAGACGACCTAGGCGACTCCCAGAAGACCTCACCAATCTAAAGACGACCTTATAGACCTCAAGTGACCTCCCCGACCTCCAAAAGAGCTAACCGAACTCAGATGACCTCACCAACCACTAGACGATCTCCCCAACCTCCAGACGACCTCTCCGACCTCCTGACGACCGTCCCGACCCCAAACGACCTAAATAAAATAACACGACCTCAACGACTAACCGACCTCAGCTGAAATACCCGACCACCAGACCATCTCCCTATCCTCTAGACGATCGTCCCAACCTCTACACGACATCCCCGCCCTCCTGACAACCACCCCAACACCAAACGACCCAAATGACCTTACATGACTTCAACAACCTCAGACGACCTCACCCCCCTCCACGACCTCAAACTACTTACCTGACCTCGGACAACCTCGAAAACCTCAGGTGACCTCCGCGACCTCAGACATCCTACCCGACATACAGATGACCTAGCAGAACTCAGACGACCTCACCAGCCTCTAGACAATATTCAAAACCTCTACACGACATCCCCGCCCTCCTGACAACCACACCGACACCAAACGACCTAAATGACCTTATACGACCTCCCCAACCTCAGACGACCTCACCCATCTCACCGACCTCAAACGACCTACCCGACCTTCAGAAGAGCTCCTCGACCGCAGACGACCACACCGACCTCCAGACGACCACACCGAACTCCAGACGACCTCCCCGACCTCAAACAGCCTACCCGACCACCAGATGACCTCCCCAACCCCGGACAACCTTGAAAACCTCAAGTGACCTCCCCGACCTCCAGGAGAGCTTCCAGACCTCAAACAACCTAGCTGATATTCCAGAGACCTCGCCGACCTCAGGTGACCTCCGCGACCTCAGACAACCTACCGACATACAGATGACTTAGTCGAACTCAGACGACCTCACCAGCCTCTAGACCAGCGGTTCCCAACCTTTTATAAGCGTGACCCCAATATTTTAAATTTAACTTTTGGCGACCCCAAAAAAAAAATTCATAATTTATTGTAAACTCAACATTATTTTATTTATTATCATCAAATTGGTAAATATGTATATTTGTTGATTTATCTATCTATATTCTATTCTGAAATACTTGTATAAAATGTATTATAAAAATGAATTTATTAATTTTTTCAAATGTAGGTAATATGGAATTAATTTATTATGAGCAAAAATATAAATTATATACCTGTTACTACGCTATGCGGGTACGACCACGCACAGCCTGCGACAGATCATTTAGATAATCTATTTCAAATTATTTTTTCCTCGATCATTATAATTCTTATTATTAGAATATTTCAGGATTTTTTTATTTTTTTTTAATAATATGTAAATTGTAAGACGTATGTAATGATTTCGCGACCCGCCATAAAAACCTCCTCGACCCTAATTTGGGTCGCGACCTGAGGTTGGGAATCGCTGCTCTAGACAATCTTCAAAACCTCTACACGACATCCCCGACCTCCAGACAACCACCCCGACCCCAAGCGAACTAAATGACCTAATACGACCTCAACGACCAACCGACCTCAGCTGACCTACCCGACCACCAGACGACCTCCCCGACCTCACATGACCTCACCGACCTCTAGACGATCTCCCCAACCTCTACACGACATCCCAGCCCTCCTGATAACCACCCCGACAACAAACGACCTAAATGACTTAACACGACCTCTCCAACCTCAGACGACCTCACCCATCTCTCCGACCTCAAACGAACAACCTGACCTCGGACAACCTCGAAAACCTCAAGTGACCTCCCCGACCTCCAGAAGAGCTCCCAGACCTCAATAAACCTATCCTACATGCAGATGACCTAGCTGAACTCAGACGACCTCACCAGCCTCTAGACAATCTTCAAAACCTCTACACGATATCCCCGACCTCCTGACGATGACCCCAAACGACCTACCCGACCATACCCGCTCTCAACGACTTACCGACCTCAGACGAACTTGCCGATCTTCACGACCTCAAACTAAATTCCGAGCTAAGACAATATCGCCTACCGCACCCTACCTCCAAACATTTAGACGACCTCACACACCTCCCCGACCTCCAAAAAAGCTTTTGATCCTTAGACAACCTAGCTGACCTTCATTAGATTTCGCCGACCTCAGTTGACCTCAACAACCTCAGACGACCTTTTTTTTTTTTTTTTTTTTTTTTTTTTTTATCGGCTGGGCGCCTCTGCTACCCCCGGAACTTTCCGCTGGAATTACTTCGGGGGTAGACAGAGAGCCACCATCGTTTATTTAACACAAAATATAGTACACAAAACGGTAGGTTGAATACTAGGACAAACCCCTAGAAACAACCTTAACATTTAAATACAATAAACGAGAGGCTCTATCCTCTCAAACTTGTCATTCCAACTACAATATAGAGGTCTTAACTAGCTTACATTAAGTTGATATCGGGGTGCACTCTGGTTCACCGTGGCTGGTTTTGGCGCCGCCGTTCATCCCTCTCTCTGGTGACCATGATTCTAGACACCAGCCTATTGATCAGCTTCCACCTTTCTGGGGTTTTTGTCATAAGTTGGATCAGGTTGTCCGCTCGGAGTTAATCCACCTCCAGTTCGCCACACGTCTGGACCCGCCAATTTTCCCACGCGTCGCATTGGAATATCGCATGCTCCGGATCGTCGGGAGAGTAGCCACACTGCGCGCATGCGTCGGAATCCAGTAGGTGGAATCTGTGAAGGTAAGATCCGAAACATCCGTGACCAGACAGCACCTGAGTTAGGTGATACGTCACCTGCCCATAATTTCGGGACAGCCACTTGTCCAATCCACCGATAAATCTGTGGGTCCACCTCCCGTTTCCGTTTGCGCCGTTGTCCCACTCCACCTGCCACTTGGCGATCAGGTCCCTTCTCGCCTCAGCCTTGTCGCGGCCTCTGTAAATCTCAGATCGTTCCTTCGCCAGGAGGATGATTGGCGGGATTCCAGAGATCGCCGCCGCTGCTTCGTACGACACCGTTCTATAACAGCAGGCCACCCTTAGCTGCGAGCGTCTGTGAATGGCGGCCAGCTTCTTCCAGCCTTTCACACTCATCGTGTCTGACCAGAAAGGTGCTGCATACAAAATTCTAGAGGTCGTGACGCTAGTCAAAAGGCGGCGAGACTTCTCTCTTGGCCCTCCCATGTTTGGCATCAGATATCCCAGGTGTTTAGCTGCTTCCGCCGCCCTGTCTGCCGCCAACTCCGCATGCTTCGTGAATTTTAACTTTTTGTCGACCTGCACGCCCAGGTACTTTATGCTAGGTTTGGACTCGATTGTGAAACCTCCGCACCTGACACTGATCTCGTTCCTCACTCTCTTGTTTGTAAAAACAATGGCCTCCGTTTTTTCTGCGGCCAGCTGCAGACCGTGCTCCGTCATCCAACGCTCGATTGACCTGTACGCTTCCTCCAGCTTCTCTTCCAATACGAAGTGGACCTTGTGTGTGGCCAGGACTGCCACGTCGTCTGCAAAAGCTAGTAGCTCAACTCCCTCCGGCATCCTGGTCCTCAGTAGACCGTCATAGAGCAAGTTCCAGAGGTCTGGCCCTAGCACCGACCCCTGTGGGACACCACAGGACATATTATGCGCGAAACTCGTTATGTAAGAGGGGGTAGACGTTAAAACCGCGCGGTTTGACAGATAATCTTCAAGAATTCTCAATAGTCCAGGGGGGAGTGACCTCGACCTGGCTGCCTCGACGATGGCCTCCCACGGAGCTGAATTAAAGGCGTTTCGCACATCCAGCGTGAGCATGCCGACCAACTTGTGGTGGATGTAATGCCCCGATGTCGCTGCCCGGACGTGCGATTTTAACCGCTCTAGGGCGTCAATGGTGGATCTGCCCCTCCTGAATCCGTATTGATTGTCACTAATCTCATTCTCGCCGACGAGGTGCTCCCTCAGCTTTGCAACAACCAGCTTCTCCAGGAGCTTGCCGCAACCATCCAGCAGGCATATTGGTCTATACGCTGCAGGGTTGTCTAGGGGCTTGCCCGGTTTTGGTATGAGAACCAGACTTCCGATCTTCCAGATTGTGGGGAAGCAGCCTTCCACAAAACATCTGTTGTAGGCATGCGCGAAAGTCTCCGGGCTCGCGTTTACTGCTACCTTTATCATCTCGTTACTAATGCCATCGGGCCCAGGGGCCCTATTATTGGGCAGGGATCCCGCAGCTGAGGCAACATCCGCTGCTGAACAAAAAGGTTCCTGACCCGTGGAGGTCGGCGGGATTCTTACATTGCCGCGCGGCGGTGTAGCGGGGAAAAGACCGTTCACTATGGCTCCGAGTCTGCCCGGTAGTTCTATGCCCGGGATGGGCCTGGGTCTCCGCAGTTTCCTCATTATGATCTTATATGGTTTCCCCCAGACGTCGCTGTCCACCGTAGCGATTAAGTCGGACCAGCACCTCTCCTTGGCGGATTTGATCGCGGTCGCCAGAGATCGCCGCAGCTCTTTCCAGCGTTCGAGTGATGCACGGCTGCCGTCCTCGCCGAGCCTCTTCCGTGTCCTCTGGTGGATTCTCCTCGCTTTATTGCACTCTCCTCTGATCAGGCCGATTTCGCGGCTCCACCAGTGCACCGGCTGTTTTCCTGTGAAGGTCCTGGTTTTTTTCAAGCACTTGTCCGCCGCCTGCGTAATCCAGGTCACTAAAGTGCTCGCCTCCAGTTCCGCTGATTGGAGCTGGTCGTGCGGTGGCAGGTGGGTGAGAGCCAAAGAAGCCGTCAATAACTCCGGTTTAAGTGACCGGGTGGACCATCCAGATGGCTTCCGGTCAATTTCCAGCCGCCGAGGGAGCGTTGATTTAAGCGTGAAGCTAATGAACTTGTGGAGGCTGAGTGACTCGCTGTCCAGAACCTTCCAGTCTGCCACTCGGCCCCTGATAGTGTTGGAGACGAGAGTAACATCAATGTGTGACTCCGACTGGCCGCGTACAAACGTGGGGGAGTCGCCGCTGTTGCACGCGTGTAAATCTAAGGCAGACATCATGTCTGCGAGAATGACACCTCTCTTATCTTCCATCGGGCTCCCCCAAAGCCTCGACTTGGCGTTGAAATCACCTGCCACGACGCAGGGGAGAACCTCAGACGACCTACCCGGCATACAGATGACCCAGCTGAACTCAGACGAGATCACCGGCCTCTAGACAATCTTCAAAACTTCTTCACGACATCCCTGACCTTACACGACTTCAATGACTAACCGACCTCAGCTGACCTTCAGAAGATCTCGCCAAACTCAGTTGACCTTAACAACCTCAGACGACCTTCCCAACATACAGATGGCTACCGAACTCAGATAAGATCACCGGCCTCTAGACAATCTTCAAAACCTCTTCACGACATCCCCGACCTCCTGACGATGACCCCAAACGACCTACCCGACCATACCCGCTCTCAACGACTAACCAACCTCAGCTGACCTACCTGACCATCAGACGATCTCCACAACCTCCAGACGACCTCCCCAACCTCGCACGACCACCCGACCTCCAGAAAAGCTCTTCGTCCTCAGACAACCTAGCTGACCTTCAGGAGATCTCGCCGACCTCAGTTGACCTTAACAACCTCAGACGACCTACCCGACATACAGATGGCTTAGCCGAACTCAGACAAGATCACCGGTCTCTAGACAATCTTCAAAACCTCTTCACTTCAACCCCGACCACCAGACGATCTCCCTTTTTTTTTTTTTTTTGCACCGAGGACCAGGAGGGAACTACGTTAGTAATACTTCCTCTTGGCCCCCATCGTTTATTATTAAACAATACATAAATAATGCCATCGCTTGCAGGGACAATCCCCCTGCTTACAATGTTACAATCATACTTTACAACGAAATGGAGAGCTCTACCCCTCCTGTTTTGGTCTGTTGGCCTACAATACATTTAACTTAAACTTAGTCGATTGTTGGGTCTCCACTTTGATCTCACGACCCGGCGTCACAAGCCAGCCAGTCTCGTAGTCTCGTGTTTCGGTTGTGCCCTGTTTGTTGGTTCATACTCCGCCTCGCTTCACCCTTCGTTCCTCTCGTTCTCAACATATCATAATTCTCGTGAAGAGGGAGTTGACTCTCTCCCATGACTTTATTGAACTCAGCATGATGGCTGCTGTATTTTCCGGCGTTATGTTGTCCACTTCTAGGTAGACGCAGGCTTCTGTCCGCCATTTGTGCCAGGTGTCCCACTGGAACACGGCGTGTTCTGGGGGTGTCTGGCGTTGTACCACATTTCGCGCACGCGTCTGTCGCCTGATTGCAATATTTATGTAGGTACGTACCGAAACACCCGTGGCCCGTCAGCACCTGGGCTATGTGGTATGACACCTCGCCGTGTTTCCTCCGGTAACATGCGAATACGTCCCCGATGATACGGTTATTCCATCTGCCTTTCCCGAAGTGCTCCATTGCTGCTGCCATTCGGTCAGCAGATTTCCCCTGGCAACCTCCTTGTTGGTCCCCAGAAAGATGCCCCTCCTTTCTTCTGCCAGCAGCTTCAGAGGGGGCATGCTGGAAACCACAGTGGCTGCGTCATATGACGTTGTGCTGTAGCAGCAGGCGACCCTCAGCATCGTCCTTCTGTATGCCGACTCTATGGTGGTCATTGCAACAGTAGGGGTCTGCATGCAGACGGGTTGTCGAGTGGTCTACCTGGCTTGTGTAGCAGCACGAGTCTTGCCGTTTTCCACTCCGGCGGGAAGCAGGCACTTCTTAGGCATCCGTTGAAGACCTCTTTGAAGTACTCCTGATGCGCTCCCACTGCCGTCATGAGTACTTCGATAGGTACGCCGTCCGGTCCAGGTGCCTTTCCATTCGGTAGGCCCCGTGCAGCTGCTTTTACTTTGGTCTCTGTGAACAGTGCCCGTTTTAGTTCCTCTTCGCTGACCGTCGCGATCGTTCTCCCGGTTGCGGGCCTGCGCGGGAAGAGCGTGTCGACTATCAAGTCGAGGTGGCCCGGGATTTCGAGTCCTGGTATTGGCTTTCTGCGAGCCAGCCTCTTCATAACTATTCTATACGGGGTGCCCCATGGGTCACCATCCACTTGGCCACATAGTTCGCTCCAGTTCCTATCTTTTGGACTTAACCTAACCCGACGATCTCCATAACCTCTAGACGATCTCCCCAACCTCTACACGACATCCCAGCAATCCTGACAACCACCCTGACACCAAACGACCTAAATAACCTTACACGACCCCCCCAACCTCAGACGACCTCACCCACCCCCCCAACCTCAGACGACCTCACCCACCTACCCGACCGCGGACAACCTCGAAAACCTCAAGTGACCTCCCCAACCTCCAGACAACCTACCCGACCTTACACTACCTCACCGGCTAACCCTCTTCTCCACAGACGACCTCCCCGACCTCCAGAAAAGCTCTTCGTCCTCAGACATCCTAGCTGACCTTCAGGAGATCTCGAAGACCTCATTTGACCTCAACAGCTTCAGACGACCTACCCGACATCCAGATGACCTCACCCAACTCTCCAACCTACAGAAGAGCTCCCCGACCTCAGACAACCCAGCTGACCTCCAGACGACCTAGGCGACTCCCAGACGACCTCACCAACCTCCAGACGACCTCTTCGACCTAAAGTGACCTCCTTGACCTCCAGAAGAGCTAACCGAACTCAGATGACCTCACCAACCACTAGACGATCTCCCCAACCTTCAGACGACCTCTCCGCTCTCCTGACAACCATCCCGACACCAAACGACCTACCCGACCTGGGTCAACCTCGAAAACCTCAAGTGATCTCCCCAACATCCAGACGACCTGCCTGACCCCCAATGACCAACCCGACCACCAGACGATCTCCCCAACCTCCAGACGACCTCCCCGACCTCACATGACCTCAACGACCTCTAGACGATCTCCCAAACCTTTACACGACATCCCAACGTTCCTGACAACCACCACAACAGCAAACGACCCAAATGACCTTATACGACCTCCCCAACCTCAGACGGCCTCACTCATCTACCCGACCTCAAACAGCCTACCCGACCGAAAGATAACTTCTCCGACCTCGGACAACCTTGAAAACCTCAAGTGACCTCCCCGACCTCCAGAAGAGCTTCCAGACCTCAAGAAACCTAGCTGATATTCCGGAGACCTCGCCGACCTCAGGTGACCTCCGCGAACTCAGACAACCTACCCAACATCCAGATGACCTAGCCGAACTCAGACGACCTCACCGTTCTCTAGACAATCTTCAAAACCTCTACACGACATCCCCGACTTCCAGACGACCACCCCGACCCCAAACGACCTAAATGACCTAATACGACCTCAACGACTAACCGACCTCAGCTGACATACCCGACCAAATGACGCTGTCCCTAACCTCTACATGACAACCGCGCCCTCCTGACAACCACCCTTACACCAAACGACTTACATGACCTTACACGACCTATCCAACCTCCAGACGACCTCCCCGACCTCATATGACCACCCCCACCTCAAATGTCCTCCCCAACCTCTACACAACATCCCATCCCCGCCCTCCTGACAACCACCCCGACCTTAAATGAGCTACCCGACCACCAGACGATCTCCCCAACCTCCAGATGACCCCCCGACTTCAGACGACCGCACCCAACTCCCCGAACACAAACAACCTACCGTTTTCTAGACAATCTTCAAAACCTCTACACGACATCCCCGACCTCCAGACGACCACCCCGACCCCAAACGACCTAAATGACCTAATACGACCTCAACGACAACCGACCTCAGCTGACCTACCCGACCAAAAGACGATCTCCCTAACCACTACACGACATCCCCGCCCTCCTGACAACCACCCTCACACCAAACGACCTACTTGACCTTACACAACCTATAAAACCTCCAAACGACCTCCCCGACCTCACATGACCACCCCCCTCAAATGACCTCCCCAACCTCCAGATGACCTCCCCGACTTCAGACGACCTCACCCAACTCCCCAACTTAAAATAGCCTACCCGACCCCCAGATGACCTCCCCGACCTCGGACAACCTTGAAAACCTCAAGTGACTTCCCCGACCTCCAGAAGAGCTTCCAGACCTCAAACAACCTACCCGACATATAGATGACCTCCCCGACTTCACATGAACTCACCGACCTCTAGACGATCTCAAAAAACGACCTAAATGACTTTACACGACCTCAACGACTAACTGACCTCAGAAATCCTCGCCGACCTCCAGACGACGTACCCGGAGTTCAGCGTTGGCTGTCGTGGTGTACGGACGTGCATTTGCGTCGCTCCCGAGAAATCTTGTTTTTTCTGCGGAAATAGTTTTTTGCGTGCTAAGTAACCCCCTACGCATTACTCAATGCTGAAGTGACCGGTGCAAACCGCGGAGAAATCGGTTCATTTTTCGCCGAGAAAACACATTTTTCCGATCTACACACTGTTTTAGCTACTGTGCTACGCAGGTAAACGATTTTCGATAAAAAGTGCGCGATCGGGCCGGTTTCGGTGTTGAGTCAGCCTGAATAAAACACGCTGTACCCTTCCGAAGGGTTCGGTCATCGCACGTCCCTCTCGGACCCCCAGGTGACGGAGAAAACCAGCAGGCCAAGTCCTAGCGCCGCCGAACTACCGGCGGGACGTCCCCGCGCGGTGTCTAGAAAGACTCGTCCAGAGAAGACGAATTCGGGGACACTTCGTCCGACGTGGTCTGACCAACAGCGGGTGAGTAACTCAAATTCAAACCTTTCCCCTATCTAATTACATGGCCCCCCAAAGCCACCCAAACGAAAACGGAATTTCCAGCCGAACAGCTGTTTCCGCGTTGGGGAAGAATTGTAGCGGCGTGACCTGGTGACGGGGAACAGTTAGAGACGTGTGTACAAGTGACTGCGTCACTTGTCCGTCGGCTTCAAATTCAAAATCACCTCCACTATGGAGGTAAACCTTTTTTGTCTTAAGTAAGTGTCAGAGCGCGGCCGTCAGCCATTTTGGTAAACGTTGGTGTTGACGAATTCCCGTTACTCGCCAAGAAGATACGCGAGGGCGTGAACCAGGCGATCACCGGTGACAATGTGGTGGGCATGCGACAGACCAAGTCTGGCGGCCTGCTCATCGAAGTTCGAGGAGACCAAGAACACATCGAAGCGGTTCGCGCCGAAGTCGCTAGATCTGCGGGACCCGAGGTTCAGGTGAAATCCCTTCAGCAGAGGGCACTGGTAGAAATATGGGACCTGGACCAGTGGACTAGCTCTGACGAAGTTAACCACGCGGTGGCGAGTGCGCCTAGCTTCTAGCAGGATACCATCAAAGTGGTCAGCCCATAGACATAATAAGATATGGACTGCTAGTAGAGAGAGAAGTCAATAGTCTACATCAATAGAAAGAGACATGACATAACTTAGGTATCATGGAAGATATTATATAATTTCATGGAATTAAGAACATCAATTTGAAATGGTTTTATCACAGTCATTTTATCACGCCAATAATTACTTTATTAAATACCTATTACGTTATTACTTCGATGGAAGATTTTTAAACAACAATAATGATTTTTATTTTATTATTTTATTAAGTCCAAGTAGAAAAAATGTTGAAAGAAATGGTCTTCAAGTGTTCAATAAAAACTTGCAGAGAAAGCACACACAACACGGACAACATAAAAATGCATGGGTAAGTATCTATTTATTTAAAAATTATTAAGTAAGTATTTATCAAATACTTATCTAAAGTACTTGATATTCTTAATTAAGAATCCACATAAAAATTATAAAAAATTTAAGTTATTCAAACTGTTTTTTATAGTATACCTAGATAATTATGTATGATGGAGAAATGGGTCAAAGCTATTCGTCAACACCAACCAGACTTTAGCTCACTCTAAAATATGTAGCATGCATTTTTTAGAGTCTGATTATAATTTAAGTTTGGTTAACAACCAAAAAGTTTTAAAAAAACTGCCATACCTAGCGTTTTTATGAACTGTAAGTGGTAATTTCAGCTACTAGCTCAATGTCTCCATAGTTTTGTTCTTCAACTGCTCAAGAACTTACCATAGATACACAGTGTAATTTAATATTTAACTATACTGTGTTTTATAATAATTAAATTATTTTATCAATTTGATATTAGTATTTGAGAAAAATTTGCCAAGTAAACCCGCTCTAGACTCCACATTAAAGTTGTCTCAAAACATAACAAGTACCTAAATAATATATACCTCAAAAATAATAATTACTTACATTGTGATTATATAAATTATAAGATTTATTTATTACTGCTAAAAAGTTACAGACCAATCAGTTTGTTGGATGCAGTTGGCAAAGTATTTGAGAGGGTGCTGCTCAACCGGCCGGAGACTCACATCGCTAGGGTAGGCGCCCTAAGCGACAACTAGTACGGGTTCAGGCGGTCTAAATCAATGGTGCCATTGAAGGGGTAATCAGCGTAACCGAGTTGGCTAAACGCGGTCCAGTTCAGGACAGGGATTTGTGCGTGCTTGTCTCCCTGGACGGCAGGAACGCATTTAATTCAGCGCCCTGGAAGTTCATCGACAAGGCGTTACGGAGATCTTCTGTCCCACACTAGCTGGTGAAAAATCCTAAGGTCGTACATGGAGGACAGGAAGCTCATAATCAGCGAAGACATGAATATTCCCGTAACATGTGGCGTCCCGACACTTTGGAACCTATTCTAGGTTAGGTTTCCAGTACGCAAGGGTGTCAGGCTGGTAGCTTTTGCGGACGATGTTGCTGTGGTGGCAGTGGCCCCCCATGCCGAACTAGACGAGCAGCTGGTCAACCCCACACTAGTGGATATTGTCGAGCGGATGACCTCCAACGGTCTCCGCCTCGCTCCCGAAAAATTGGAGTGCTTGGTCCTTACCAATAAAAAGGCCTACCGCAATCCTGATCTGCACATTCAGGGATGCCATATCACCGTCGAACGTGCATTCAGAAATCTTGGTGTTCGGTTTTACACTAGGCTGTCATTCGTCGATCATGCGACTTCTGTGGCGGCAGGGGCAAGGAAGGCCGCAGCTGCCCTCGGGAGGCTTATGCCTAATGTCGGTGGTCCTTCCCAATCAAAGCGGCAACTTCTTATGAGCGTGGTCCATAGCCGACTATTATACGGTGCCGAAGTTGGGGCGGATAGCATACTCGAAGTACAGAAGTCCAAGAACTCTCTTCTACAAGCGCAGAGGTGCTCGGCGCTGAGGGTGGCTAGATGCTACCGCACAGTTGCAGATATGGCCTTGCTGGTTCTGGCTAGGATGCCGCCGGTCTCCCTACTGGCGGAAGGCAGGAAGAGGACAGTGCTGGCAAGGAAGTCAGGAGTTATGGTTTAATGAATGACGCTATAGCCAACATAATCCTACAGTGGCAGGCCCTTTGGGACTCCACCCGCGACAAGGTGGCATGGACAAAAAGACTCATCCCTGACTTGTCCAGGTGGTGGTACTGTGGCCCGAAGCAGATTACTTTCCATTTGGCACAGGCTCTCACAGAATACGGATGTTTCCAACAGAACTTGTGGACCAGAGATAAGGCGCGCAGCCCGGCCTGCCTACAGTGCCCGGCGGGGACAGATGACGCGGAACACATGCTGTTTGTGTGCATGTTTTGGAGCGGCGAGAGAATGCAGTTTGAGCAGTCATTGGGAAGACCTGCACGTCCAGAGGATGTCATGAACGTTCTTTGTGGGCTGGTGCCGGCGGAGCTGCCGGAAGACCTGCCAACTAGGAGGGGAATCATTTCGGTGGTCAACAGAAGGAGGGAACTGTTCATCCATATGGTAGAAGACATCATGGGCCGCAAGGAGGAAATGGAAAGAGAGAGGCGAATCATAAAATAGTTAAGCATTGAACTGTGCGCTGAACGGCCGCTTCAGGGTGGTTAGGGACCCCCATATTTTGTAAAATTAAATATTTGTATATTACATTCCATTGTATTTGGGTGATTTTCATTAATAAATGATGCGTCCAGGGAGGCAGCAATGGGGAAACCTAGTTCCCCCCTTGGTGAGCGATCCAAACAGAAAAAAAAGACGACGTACCCGACCGAACGACCTCAAACGAAATTCCCGAGCTCAGACGACCTCGCCTACCACATACGACCTAACCAACCTCAGACGACCTCACCCCCCTCCCCGACCTCAAACGACCTATAAGACCGCCAGATGACCTCACCAAACTCTAGACGATCTCCCCAACCTCTACACGACATCCCCGCCCTCCTGACAACCACCCCGAAACTAAACGACCTAAATGACCTTACACGACCTCCCCAACCTCAGACGACCTCACAAGCCTCCCCGACCACAAACTACCTAGCCGACCTCGGACAACCTCGAAAACCTCAGGTGACCTCCGCGACCTCAGACAACCTACCCGACATACAGATGGTATCGAGTGGGGGGGAGGAACTTAACCCTAAGGTATTACTTCTCCCCGCCACCCATCGTTTATTGTGGAAATATTAAAAACACAATACATTTATTGATTATTTCATTTTATGGGGGCCTCTAACCACCCTATTTTGGTCTTTGACCCACAAAGGTATAACTTAACTAGCTAGTTTGTCATGTTCCTCTCTTCCAGCTGCTGGGCACTCTCCAACGCCTCCTTTTGCTTCATCGTCCGTTTCGTGAATGCGGACACTGCTTCCCAAGCCTGAGTGTTGCTGAGCATCTTCCCGATCAGAGTGCCGATGTCCAACTGGCCGATCTCTGCTTCTAACTCCTCTCTTTCAGCTGCCCATGCCCTACATTCAACCAGCGTGTGGTGCGCGTTGTCTAGAGTTGATGGACAGTGCCTACAGTTTGGCTCCTCTTTTTTCCCTATTCGGTGGGTGTAATAACTGAAGCAGCCATGCCCAGATAATACTTGAGCGAGATGGAAGTCCATGCTCCCATGTCTCCTCATCACCCAGCCTCGTACGTCATGAATTAGTGTCCGCGTCCATTCCCCTTTTTTGGCGTCTTCCGTCCTCTGCAACCATTCCACCATTGTGTCACCTTTTGTCTCTTGTACTGTTTTAATTGTCAACCCTCTTCTGATTTAGAACAGCTTCCTCCTCTCCATTGCTATGAGGGCAATTGGAGGGGTCGACGCTAAAATGTATGTCGCGTCGTATGATATTGTGCGGTACCCACAGATACTGCGAAGTGCCGCTTGCCGTTGTACCTTTAGCAGTTCTCCTCTGATGACCTTGGAGTACTCCAGCGAGGTTGCCCATATCGGGGCACCGTACAGCATCACCGACTGGACAACACTTACCAGCAGTCGTCTGCGTGGTTCCGTGGGTCCGCCTATGTTCGGCATTAGTCTCTTGAGTGACGTCAGCACCCGCTGTCCCATTTTAGCTGCTTCCTTTATATGTTCTCTAAACTTCAGCTTCTCGTCTATTGTCAGTCCAAGATACCTCATTGTCTTCGTTATTGGTACATCCGCGCCGTTCAGTCTGATGGTGGGTTTCCTTTTTTTGTATTGCTTTTTAAAGAATACGGCTTCGGACTTCTCCGTCGCTAATGACAGTCCGAGTATGCTGATCTCTTCTGCTACCACTTCTAACGCCTCGTTTATTCGCCTTTCCACATCTTCGGTTGTTTTGCCCCAAGCCATGACGAGTGTATCGTCGGCGAATCCTATTATCTTTGTGGATTCCGGGCACCGGGCTCTTAATACTCTGTCGTACGCTACATTCCACAGCGTCGGACCGACTACCGAACCCTGCGGCACGCCGCATGTTATGTTAATCTCTAGTTGACCAGTAGCGGAGTGGGAATGTGCGAACGTTGCGGATCTCTCCTTGAAGTAGGCTTGGAATGTCTGCAGCAGGTACTCGGGGACATCACACCTTTGCAGCGCTGTCTTTATGTGGTCCCAGCCAATGGAATTGAACGCATTTCTAATGTCGAGGCTTACGGCGACATAAAGTTCGTATTTTCCGAGTGCCGCATTTGCGGTCGACTCCAGTGTGCTTATTGCGTCCTCAGTCGAGCGACCCTTCCGGAAACCATACTGTTCGTCCTCGAGGCCTTGTGAGCTTTCCAAGTGTCTTTCGAGCCTCTGCACTAGGAGTAGCTCATAGAGCTTTCCAACATCGTTCAGCAAACATAAGGGTCTGTATGACGATGGTTCGTTTACTGGTTTTTGTCCCTTGCGAAGTAGCACTAACCTTGGGTTTTTCCATCTCATGGGGAAGTCACCTACTCGCAGGCACTCGTTGAACATTCCCCTGAAGAGGGTTGGTTCTGCCCTGTGGGCTGCTGTGAGTATGCAGTTGGTAAGTCCATATGGGCCGGGCGCTTTCCTCCTGGGGGCCATACATTTGAAGGCCTCACAGACCTCGTCCTGCGTGAAGAATGGGATGGGGGTGTCACGGCTGTACTCTATTTGGCTGGGTGGTGGCTTCGTTGGAAAGAGCGTCGCGACGATTTCCTTTAGCATCGTGGGCTCCATGTTCGCCGTCGCTGGTGGGCCTTGCAGTTTCCTCAATACCAGCTTATACGGCTTGCCCCATATGTCGTTTTCTACGGTTTCGAGTAGTTCTTTCCACGCGCGTTCTTTGCTCTTTGCTATCTCCGTCCTGAGGGCCTTTTTGCGGGATTTAAGGTTCTCCAGCAGGTTTTCTGTCGCCGCTGTTTCTCCGCCGTTCCTGGCCCGCCTGGTCACTGCTCTTCTTGCTGCAGTGCAGCTGGAGCGGAGTTGAGCTATCTCCGGGTTCCACCAGTGCTGGGGCCTTTTGCCACATCGCATTACGGGTTTCCTCTGGAGTACAAAATCGCATGCGACGGTCATCCTTTTTTCGAAGGCATCAGCTAAATTGTACTCCCCCATGTCAGCTTGCCGTGGGGAAATCCAATCCGCTAGCATAAGGCCTGCTTTGAATTCCTCCACGCAGATGCCCTTGGATGTGATCCAGCTCCTATCATTGCGCGGAGTGTCTTTTCCTCTGCTAGAGCTTGCGTCCGTTTGTGCTGTGTACGTTATGTAATGGTGGTCTGAGTAATTTTCTTCGTCTAGTACCGTCCAATCTCTGATGTTGTGGGAAAATCCTTCTGATGCAAACGTGACGTCGACAATTGAGCCTGCTCCTATACCATGAAATGTGGGCTCTCGTCCCGTGTTGATTATGACCAGACCTAGTCCTTCAGAGAGCTCTAGGAGTTCTTCTCCTCTGGTGTTACTCTGCCAGTCGCCCCATGCGGCTGATCTCGCGTTAAAATCCCCGGCGATGATAATTCTCTCCTGGCGTCCTAACAGTTGTGCGCTCCTTTCTAGCCGTTGTAGGAATTCCCAGTATGCTGCTATTGTGGAGTTTGGTGACGCGTAGCAACTATATATGAATACTCCGTTTACCCTTACCAGTACAAACTCGTCATCGGTCTCGATTTTCGCTATCGTGGCGTTTTTCCCAAACACTTTGATTGCGGCCCTATTTGTACCGCTGCTTGTTAGCCATCCTCCGTTGCCGTCTGTGATCCCGTGGGGGTCGCATGCGATAACCACGTCGATGTTTCTTTCAACCACTGTTTGCTCCACCAGGTTTTGAGCCGTTCGACAGTGGTTGAGATTAATCTGTAGAAGATTAATCATTGCCTCCTGGTCCGTTGGTCCTTCCGGCCTCATTACGCGGCATTGACCCAGTCGTGGCTCGCGTTTCGCAATTCTTGGCCACATGACCATCCTTCCTACATTTGATGCAGCGGTTGGAACGATCTTCCCCCTGGCATCCTGCTGCTACATGCCCGGTTTCTAGGCATCGGAAACAAACCCTTTTCTTTTCCCCGAGCAGCTTTATCCTGCAGTTGCTCCATCCAATCCTCAATTTGGGATCAGCAGCTAGCCGCAATGCTGACTGTATCGAGGTCTCGATCTTTGCAGTGCTCCAGCGGTTGGCTGCTGTTCGGATGGTGAAGAGTTTGATGTCTGCTAGCTCTGGGTCTCTTTCAGCAAGAACTGCCCTCAGCTCTTCTATGGTTGTTGACTCGTCAAGTCCTGAGATGAGCACTGGTGCCGTTCTCATGGCCCTTCTTACGCTTACCTCATTCCCGAGCTTCTCCTTTAGTTTTTTAGCAAAGAGTTCGGCCTCCTCTTTGCTGCCAACCTCTAGGAGAATGTCACCTGCTGCTGTTCTTCTAGTCCCGAGCTCTTTTAGGTTTGGTACAGCTTCTTTCGCCTTCCTGATGACATCAGCGTAGGTTGACCCGGTCGTTGGTGCATTAAGGATGATTGCTTCGTTTTTGGGCAGTTTTTTCCTTAGATTTCTGGCCATTTTTTCCGCTGAGCTACCGTTACCTCCCCTTCGTTCGCCGTTCTCGTTCTCGTTTCCTGTTTCGACTTGGAGTTTGTCTCTTTGCTGTCTTCGCGGGGGGTCGCTATGTGGTTCCAACGCCTTACTATTTGATGGTCGCTGGTGCGGTGGCTTGCCCCTACGCCTATTCTTTCGCCGGTTCTCAACCGTTTCCCAGTTTCCGGTATCACTGCTGCGGTCCTGAGAGTCGTCTGTCCGCTATTTTTGTTGAAATTGTAGATTTCTTTGCATCTGTGTCTCTCGCTGCTGCTGCTGCTGCTGCTTCGGCGACTTTTGTTGTGGCAGTTCATGTTGTTGATTTTGGATCTGTAACCTCTCTACCTGCTCTGTTAGCTTCCCAACAGCTTCCCCCTGAGTTTTCAGCTGTTGTCGGAGTCCCTCGATGGCAGCAAGGAGCTCAAAGCGTGTGCGATCCGGAGAGGGGATCTTGCCTGCAGGTTTCGACCCTGGTTGGGGACCTGACGGTACTCCTGTCGTCTTTGACTCAGGAGGCACCTCGTTTGTGGGTTGAAGTACAGAGGGTCCAAGGTCAGTTTGGTTTCCTCTACTCGAGGTACTGACGTTCACTTTACCCGTGAGCCTTCTCCACTGTATCAGCCCTTTGACGTTGGTCGATAGCTGGACTATGAGGGTTTTTATCTCCCTCTTGGTGTTGGTGGCAATAGCAAGTTCATCATCCAGGCTCTTAGCCACCGAGTATGTTTGCTGGAGGTACTTGAAAAAACGTGCATTTGCCTCTTCCATATTTACGTCGTTCTGGCTTGTTTGACTTGAAGTTGACGAGGCCAACAACTTCGTCACCAGATTCCGTGCAGTCTTAATTTCTCCAGCATTTCCTATTTCCTTGTTCTTCACCTCTGAGGTATTCACCCTTTGACCGGTGGGTGTTCCGCTGTTTTGCACCAATTGGCCAACTGGTGCATCTGGGTTCTGTTTGTTGTCCTCCATATTTGGTCCCACGCAAACACAGGAAAGGGTCGTCCACCACTGCAGAGCCCGGTGCAGTGGTAAGCCTATATACTGTTGGGTGCGGCAAAGCCCAACGGGTTCCACGCCGACACAACTACCACTGTGCCAAGTGACACCCCTATCACGGTTTGGGGGTTGAGGGAGCCGGTTTTTCATTGCGAAAGGCATGCTCAGGTATCTTATCCCCAGTCAGCCAAGCCCAGGGATAAATCGATGTGGTCCGGGGGCGAACCCCAGGATGGAACCTCTTGGCACGGGCGTTAGCCCGTGAGCCCCCCCCCCCCACCACGACAAGGTGGGTCCCGTCGAGGGGGGGGGGGGGACATACAGATGCCCTAGCCGAACTAAGACGACCTCACCAGCCTCTAGACAATCTTCAAAACCTCTACACGACATCCCCGACCTCCTGACAACCACACCGACCTCAAATGACCTACCCGACCACCAGACGACCTCCCCGACCTCTAGACGATCTCCTCAACCTCTACACGACATCCCCGCCCTCCTGAAAACCACCCCGACACCAAACGACCTACCCGACCTAGGACAACCTCGAAAACCTCAAGTGACCTCCCCAATTCACTTTCACCATGCGAACAGCGTATTATCACATTCACCTTATCACGGGAAACGGTTATGATACAATTATATTGTTTATCGTTTTTTGAATTGAATTGTTTTGTTTTTGTTTTTAATATTAATATTAAGTTTGAGTATTGTTTTCAAAATGTCAGATTTTGATGTACCTAGTTTCTTGGAGGAATAACAAAGATATCTATGTTTATGGTTGAAGAAGGTGTGAACTACAAACTGCGACACAAACGAGATGCTGCTGAGGAAGCCCTACTTGCTTTTACCAAATTAAAAACTATTAAAGAACTGAGGCAAAAGATGAGGAGTATCAGGTATGTGTTACATAATTAATAAACTATGTACTATTATGCCAATCATGTAAAAGATACTTTATAAAAATTATTCAATTACAGATATAGATTCTATTTTAAGAAGGTATTTAAAATATGTATTCGAGTAGGTACCTACTTAAAAAATATTTGAATACTTTTACTCGAGTATTTTACAACACTAAATTTACAGCTATCATTTTATTTTTTTTGACCCAAGATACATATACATAATTGATCAACATGGGTTCTTTAATGGTCGCTCGACGTCGACCAGTCATGAAGACTTTGTATCTTACCTTCACGAGGCGTTTAAATTGGGTAATCAAGTTGATGTGATATACAATGACTTTCCAAAAGCTTTCGACTCTATTGACCATAATGCTCTTCTTTATATCCTTGACAGGCTAGGTGTTGGAGAGCCACTTTTATCATGTTTTAGTTCCTACCTTAGTGAACGTCGACAATTTGTCACCCTCTTTGTCAAGTCATCTGAGCTCTTCCGAGCACCATCCGGAGTTCCACAAGGTAGCCATTTAGTTCCCCTATTATTTAATATTTTCATCAACACTATGTGCTCAGCTGTTTCCCCTTGTCATCTTCTACTTTTTGCCGATGATTTTAAAATCTTTCACACAATAACCTCAAATAATGATTGCCTCACTCTCCAAAAAACCCTTGATAAATTCATAAATTGGGGTAATACGTTTAATTTATCTCTTAACATATCAAAATGTAAAGTTATGACATTTTATCGCTCTAAGTCAATGATGTATTTTTATTATAGGCTAGGAGGTATATCCATATAACGTGTTAGCAAGGTACATGAATTATGCATTTTGTTGGTACCTTCCCTTAATTTTAGACCTCACATTGATTATATGACCACCAAACCTTTCCGTGTTTTGAGATTTATAAGTCACTCATCCAATTTCAGTTTATCCAATTGCCTTCTGGCTCTCTATTATGCATTAGTCTGTTCGGTCATTGAATATGGGTCTGTTGTTTGGTCACCATACACCGCCGTTGATATTTGTCGGATTGACCGTGTTCAAAATAGTTTTATGCGTTTCGACGGTCATTGCCTCAACATCCCCCATCCACCACATGATTATGGGCCAGTACGTCAAGCTCTGAAACTTGATTCCCTTTCAGTTAGGCGTGATAACTTTGGTATCACTTTTATTCAGGGCCTGGTTGGAGGTCGAGTTGATCCCCCAAGGCTTTTTGGAGAACTAAGTTTTCGTATTCTTAGTAATACTAGGCTTCAGTCTAATTTTTATAAACCCACCAATAAATCTAACTTCTCCATGAATGTCCCACTTTTAAGAATGATGCATAATGCAAATAATAATATAGATTATTAAACCATATTTAGTGTTTAGTAAGGAGACTATAGACATATAGAAAAAAGTAAAAAAAAAAAAATGGCTATCTTTTGTTTTAATATCATATTCACCACGTTTGTTTTGTTTTTTTTTTTTTTTTTTGGGAAGTATTATGTGAAGCATCTTATAGGTTGCTATAACAATATTATGTCTTTATCTGTTATCTACGTTTTTCTTGCTTGTATAATTTTGTAAAAGCCGTCTGGCGTTGATTATAATAAAATAAAATAAAATAATAGCTGAATTTTGAATTATTCAGAATTACAGGGTATACAGGGTATACAGGGTATTCATTATAAATACTCTAGATAGCTCACTGCAGTACAGGATTATAAAGAACAGGTTATGCGTCGGTATAAGGTTTGTATGGCACAACCGCGGTCAGAAATTGTTACGGTGATATATTTCGGCTATTTACCACTATACTCTGTTCCAAAAGAGAACGGTCATTTCGGCCGACCGGTTTTTGTCGGTCGCTGCGCATCTCCCACCAACGACCCATAAATGGGCGGTCATTAATGCCTGATCCAGCGTGCGTTCACGTGTGCACCCTGCATGGTCCTGCGGGTGCGTGCGTCGTGCGTTACTGTGTGGCTCCTATGCGTGCGTGCGTAGTGCGTAACTGTGTGGCTCCTATGTGATAGTGTATACAAAAATTATAATACTGAAATTAGGTACCTAACACTCAGTTGAAGTTGAACTACTTTTTTAATTTTTATAAACTTCCGAATAGATCATCAGTGAATTAACTATTATCTATAACTTGTATCTAGGACCTAGGTAGAGAATAAAAAATATTAATTAATTAATTGATTAGTACTTGTTAAGTATTTAATTATAAAATATAAAATTAATCATAATATAAAATAATTCAAACTGATACAATACAATATTAAAAACTAATTAATAATGTATAAAGTTAATATTATGATAATTAGAAAACTGCGTCTTACATTGCCCATCACTCCATTAAATTAGATGCGATATCGGTCGTATCCACAATTAGTAATTACCCGATAACGCGAAAGCTTCGTGTGAGAGAGATCGATAGTGACTACAGGTAGACAGACAGAGACCGTCACGATACACGCGCATTGTTGTAATTTAAAAATATTATTCATTGGTGCTTGAAACTTTTAAGGTATATTAGTTTATACAAATATGATTATATGCAAATAATATTAATTCAACCTATCGACCTAACCTATCGACTACAGTAGTTATAATAACAATATAAATGTAATATAAAATATCTTAGGCTGACAAACCGTCTCCGCTCAGAATCGTTTTTCGTATATAATGATGTATCATTGAATTCAAATTTAACACGATCCATTACAGTGACTCACTTGTAATCTACTGTACAGCAGAGCGCCATACACTTACCCGCTTTTTTATTATTTCAGTTTGTGTCATCTGGCCAAAGAATATTGATTATAAATGCATACAAACACTATATTACCCAAAACCCAAACGCTAAAATGGTTCATCTAAAAAAAGTTTTATCAGAACAACTGGGAATTGGAATTGGAACTATTTATCAAACAATTTTGGAGTACAAACGGTCCAAAACAATTTCATCTCCTAATAGAACCAAAAAGTTTATAAATGTGAAGGATAAGGTAGATGACTTTGATAAATATGCAATAAGACGGAAGATACATAAATTTTGGTGTGACCGCGAGTTCCCGACGTTAGACAAAATACTCCAAGTTGTTAACGAAGATGAGGACTTACCTGATTTCTCTCTTACCTCAATGTACAGATTAGTAAAATCTATGGACTTTGTGTACGTGAAACAAGGCCGTAATAGCGCTTTAATAGAAAAAACTGAAATCGTCGATTGGTGGAGGCGATATTTAAGGGCAATACGGCGATATCGAGAGGAGGGTCGGCCAATATATTATTTGGACGAAACTTGGGTCAATGCTGGTGACGTTCCATACAAAGTTTGGTGCGATAAATCGGTCAAATCAGCGAGAGATGCGACTTCAAAGGGCCTTACAACCGGTGCAGTAAAACCAAGTGGAAAGGGGAAACGTCTTATTGTTTGCCATATTGGTTCTGAAGATGGTTTCGTCCCTGACAGTTTGTTATGCTTTGAGTCTAAAAAAAACACTCAAGACTATCACGATGAAATGAATGGTGAATGTTTTCGTGAATGGTTGGAAAGTGTTTTGCCAAGACTCAAAGATAACGCTGTTATTGTTATGGATAACGCCCCTTATCATTCCGTAAAACAAGAGAAATGCCCAAATGTAAATACAAGGAAAGCCGATATTATTGCGTGGCTCGAGAGCAAAGGAGAGGTTGTTGTTTGAGAACTGATTCCGATTGTCAATAGACTGAAGCCAATGTACAACAAATACGTCATAGATGAAATGGTCAAGTCACACAATAAAGATATACTTCGATTACCACCATATCATTGCGAGTTCAACCCGATTGAGCTCGCATGGTCCAGTATAAAAAATTATGTAAGAAAGAATAATACCACTTTCAAGCTGCATGATGTCAATCGATTATTAATTGAAGGCATCCAAAGGGTAGATTCTGAGATGTGGAAAAATTTTATTAAACATGTGGTTGACGAGGAAGATAAATTATGGAAAATGGACATCGTTGTTGATGAGTTGACGGCTGAACAAGAACCATGTGTTTTAAATCTGGGCCCCGATGACTCGGACTCAGAATCTGACTCTGACTCACAATCGGACTTGGACTCAGATAACGATATCAGACCTCTTTCAGACTAGACTATGATTATTTTTTACTATTATTAATATTATATTTGTATTATTGTTTTTGACTATGATTATTGTAATTGTATTATTGATTTTGACTATGATTATTTTTTACTATTATTAATATTATATTTGTATTATTGTTTTTGACTATGATTATTGTAATTGTATTATTGATTTTGACTATGATTATTTTTTACTATTATTAATATTATATTTGTATTATTGTTTTTGACTATGATTACTATTATTAATTTGACTATTACCTACATTATAATTGTGTTATTATGATTTTCTATTATTCTTAATTTTGTCTAAAAAATGAGTGTTAGGATTTGACGAACATTTTTCTCTAAGAAAAATTGCGCAGTGATACACTTCACCAATTCAACACAATCGCATTACTAATCAGTAATTAGTAAAGTAGCCGCAGGCCTCGCGCGTTTCAGTAATCGTAAAACCTCGTCAACGCCTTCGTGAACCGTCGGCTAGCAAGGTGGGAGAGATTTGGCCTTGGCACTGCCGCAGCCGTCAGTCGTATGCGCAAAAGTGACCGTTCTCTTTTGGAACAGAGTATAGGTGGGCTGCTAGTTAACCGGGCTCTAAACGAATTGTTCGTTGTCGTCATAAATATAAATCATCTATTGTGATTTGTGAAGACGAATCGTATAATATATTATTAATATTTAATTTTATTGTCATAGTGGGGTCATACGTCTGACATACTTTATTATAATATTATTATATTATATTATTTATTTCCGAATTATCGAAACATGCCATCTTCTTGCTGTGTTGTGTTTTGTACGTCAGGATATAAATGAAACCCAGAAAGAATTTCACCGTTTCAATTTCCTAAAAATGAAATTTTGAGGGAAAAATGGGAAAAATCTATTCCTCGTGCTAATCTTGTTGTCAACTCAAAGACAGTGATTTGTGAAAAACATTTTACACCTGATCAAATTGTTAGAACTTGGGAATCTGGTTCTGGTGCTTCAAAAGTCACTGTATTACCTAGCAACTGTAGCTTATCCTTTGTTTAATGAATCTTTTTTTATATAAAAATGTCTTAAACGTTTTTATAGATAAATTTAAAACGAGCAAAGCTTGCTCATGATGCTGTTCCAAGTATATTTCCGGGTCCAAAATATTTGTCAAACCCAGTGAAAAAAAGGAAATCACCATCCGATATGTAGAGTTGATTTGATTAAATGAATTTAATCCAATAAACTCTAGTTTTGGCACTACATTAGGGCTCGAATTGGTATATGTAAATATAATATATATAAATGTACTTTTTAAAAATATACCTATTTACTTTGTACCACACAGAATAACGTTATACTTTTAAAAACTAAAAAACACAATGATATACATACACCTTGTAACGTCACGGAATTTTCAGCCTTATAAATCATAAATAACATTCCCCTAACACACCGATTGCTAACGTTGTTGACAAGTCAACGCACCTTTAGTCTTATAAACATTAGTAATAAAACGTAGATATCGCGCGCTAATGCACAAATGACCGCAGTGTTATGCAATAAATGTTCCCCGTTCCCCCTTCATCCCGCAGTGTTCGTCATCGACGTGCCGCGGTTGCCCGCCACCCGTCGTCTCCTGCGCTTTCGTCGCGTCCGCCGGCACGGCCTGCAGGCAATACTGTACTCCCACAATTTAATTGGAATAATCCCGCAAAAGTACGACACTGACCTGCCCCACTACACCAGAGAAGCACCAAGTTCCGTCGACGGCCTACGGCAAACCACCGTCGCCGACCACTCTACACTCTCGTTTTCGACTTCGATTCGACCTCTCGTTTTCGACTTCGACTCTACTTGTGGACACTGACGTCTGACACTTTACATTTCGTCGTCGATTCGACATTTTGATTTCGACTTCAACTCTCCACTTCGACTTCGACTTCGACTTCATCTTACCACGTTGTAAACCCGGTCACCAGCCAAAATGATGGGCTAAGCCAACCACTACGGGCCCGAGGCGGGCGGAGCTGACACCACGTCGATCAACAACCATGTGAGGACCCTGCGAGGACACATCATGAGAAATATGATGTGTCGCTTCCCGTGGGCCGGAAAAAACACGTGACTTCGTTACTCAAACAATGGTCTGCGACATGCTATTAAAGTGATAGAGTTTCCTATTATATTTTTTTTTATTTGCTATATGCCATGTTATATATTATTTTGTTAAAAAAGAAAAATGTCAAAATATTTACTTAAATTATCTACAATCAAAAAACCTGTAAAATACATCCACGTGATTACCCTAATACTACTCTTATTATTTATTTTCATTAACTTATTTTTTTTCTCTCTCTCCCAACATAAATCCTCGGGATTCAGCTTGCCGTTGCGTGTATCAAAGCCTGTGAGTTCCACCGACTTGACCCTCGGGTCTCACGCGCTGCGACTCACAGGTCATGAGGAAAGTGTTCCCCTTTCCTCATGGGTGGTTTTGGTGACGTAAAAAATCACGAACTCTCACAACCTTCTAACTCCTTGTTCCTAATGTAAGTGACCACATAACTGATTATTGAGATATAGTTTTTGTCGTCACCGAATAATCATAATTCATTTGTGAAAATTATGATCTAGGCCCGCCTCCCCACAATTAAGTCTTTAGTACTGGCCCCTATTGTAGTGAATTTAGGTGTATTTTTCCATTTCAAAATTATGAAGAACATTTTATTAAATTACTAGGCAATAGGCATTTTTCACACATTGTAAAACCACTAAAAAAAAAATAAACAAAAATTTTAAATAATTTAAAATTTATCAAAATATTTTTAAAACATCATTGCATATCTCTTAAAAAATTATATTATAATTAATAATAATAATTAAATTAGGTTGATGAAAAATAATTTAATATTATCAAAGTTTGTATACATTGTTAGTAGGGCCGAAATAAAAAAAGAGAGGTCTAAAAATACAGTAAACTACACCCAAAATGCAGGTCTATAAATTGCCTATGAATAAAACGCTAATATTAAAACAAAAGGTTTATCAATTTATTAATTAAAAAATTAGTTTTAACATGGTTTGCATAGGAAAATGTTAATATATAACACTGATGACTTGCAGCGCTCGGCGGTTTTAAGAACTACACCGCCGTAACAAAATCTGACCGAATATATTCCTTCCGACGCATAACCTGTTCTTTATAATCGTGCTGCATTACAAAATACGCTGCTCGCTGAATTTCGAGTGCCGCTACAGGGCGCTCCACGCGATATTGAGTTATGGTGTATACCGCAATAATCGCTAGTATAGTTCATAGGAGTATTGATTAGTCTTGAATTTTTCACTGTAGAGACAGACGTACATATTGACCTATCTTGGTTTCAATTCTCGGAGCGTCTACAAAGATAATACTCGTATAATACTATACTGTAAACTTGGTACCTAACTTGTCGTTACACAGGCGCACTGCCAACGATTACAAAATTATAAATATTAAATACCTATCCATAATAACATAATCCTAGATGGGTGGCCTCCTTTTTGGCCAAAATGTACCCTTTCCATTTCGGCTAGTAGTACAGTTTTCTTTACAATTTACAATTATAACAACAGAACTTAACAATTTAATTAAATATGGTTGTATCCAGAATTGTGATATTTTGTAATGGGATTACGCAATTATAATCATTTCATGTAAACGCTCATAATAACAAGAACCACTTATGTGAAAGGCGACCTCCATCGACCGCACCTAGAATAAACACACTAAACCACTACAACTTACCAAGGGCGCCTGCATGCCACGCGCCGCTCAATTCAAATGAAAGCCGCCTCCGTATATATAGAGACCAGGGCTTCAATACAGATTAGATGTACCAGGGGGCCAATTCTTGAAATCATACGACTAATTCTCGCATGCGACAAGAGTCATACATTTTATCGCATGTGACATATAATCGGTATTCTTGAACTGAAATCGACAAAATCTTATCACTTGTCGAATGCGACAAAATAATCGCATGAACCGCTGTGGTAACAACACAAAATCTAGATTCTAACCTCAAACAAGTTCAAAATAATAAAATTTTATCTTTTATCACGGACAATATTTACTTTGACATTCCTCAATATAGTGATAGGTAATCAATACCTACTACCTATAGTTCCTACAAAAATTTTTTATTTTACCGACTGTCTATTGTAAACTTTTTTAGTCCGTAGTTGTTATATTGTTCCTATTTGTTATTTATTCATAGTATTCATTACCTACATTTATTATGTCTAAATCAAGGCCAACTCAATCGCAAATGAAATCTTTGGTTGATCTTATGGCCAAAGATCCATTATTGTGCGCTGGTAAATTTACACCAACATTTACCCAAAAAACTGCTAAACAAAAATGGCAAATCATAGCAGATCAACTTAACGCTTTACCAGGAGCAGAGAAGAGCGGAGATAAATGGAAAAAAGTAAGTTACTTAGTTTAATACTTAAATGTAGCTTGCAAGAGAATATTAATTTTCACTTTTATAATGTATTACATTTTGTTTACACCTTTACTATACCCATTCTATTCCGTAATTGGATAGTTATAGTTCTTTAAATAATTATGAAATAATGTGCTATGAATATGTTAATCCTGTTTGTCAAATTAAAAATGTATAATCTTACTTGTATTAGTTTGAATTTGAATTGGTTTAATATATGATTATTGTTCTTTGTATATGATTATAAGTGTTACAATATGATAGTATTGCGAGTTTATCCATCTACTAAAGTGTTGACTCACTTGTTGTAATTTTTAGACATGGCAAGATACAAGATCATCCACTAAAACAAAAGCAGCGGCTATAAAAAGACACATTGGAGGTACTGGGGGTGGACCAACTTGTAATATTCAACTGAATGATATTCAAAAAGATGCACTTTCTTTGATTAGTCCATCATTAGTGAATGGTCATGAAAATACTATAGAGTCAAACGTAGAATTCATTTTTGAAGATCCTGAAAATGATATACTTG